TTCATGTAGCATTCATGGCTCTGAATTAAATGTCCATTGATTTTGATTATTTTTTGAAGTGAATAGGGAAGGTTAGGAATATGAATTAAGGTAAAGAGATTATCTGATTGCTCTCCCCATTTTCTCCCTTTCTCCCTAGTTTGCACCTCAACCTAGGGCTTAGGATCACTCATTGCTTAGAAGAGATTTGATCTCAGCCAAAGCACACAAAGGAGCACACCACACACACACACACACACACACACACACACCGCACACACCTCCACATCACTCCTTCAATCTTCTCCAAGGCTCAGTTTGATAAATGGCTTATTCTGCTGGATGAGCAATGGGCTATAGGTGGGAGTGACTCAAGTCTTTCTTTCTTTTTTCCCTTTTCTGACTTTCTTTCTGTCCGTCTTATTTGTTTTCTCCGAGTTAGTGTGATGGAGATGAGCAGATAGTATGACAAAGGAAACAAACTGATGCTCATACTCTTACAGTAAGCTACTTCTCCCCTAACCTTGGCATATCAGCCAACATACTATACATTTACAGGCACACAGCCAGATTCATTAATGTAATGAACACTTGATTCTGTTACACTCAAATGCATGTGCACTCGAGCAGGCATCAACACCTACATGAATATCATCCCCCGCATTATTTGACTTGCTCCTTCAAAAACTATTGATATCTTTTAAAGAAAAGACTTGAGAGCAGCCAGTTAAGTGGCAGAGTACAGTGGCCATAAAAGCAGCCGCCTCCTTGTTGCTTAATGAGAATGAATGAAGATGTGCCAAAATGTCTCCACCTGCCTTCTCTCTCTCTCTCTCTCTCTCTCTCTCGCTCTCACTCTCGCTCTGGAGTCTGGAGTACTCTCTGAACGAATGCTACGATTGCCACCGTCAAAGCGTTTGCCTGTAAACTTTTACGACTAGAACTGGTAATTCGACTCATGCAAACTTAAATCTCTATGGCGATAACTCTGATCTCAGTAATTGGAATACGCAGTAAAACTCAGATTTAAATAGCGGCACAGTCGCTGTCAGCGGTGATTGAAAGCACTGACTGACAGATTCATCTCCTCTGCGCCTTGCATTATGTGTATAGCCTGCTCTCTCGATGAGAGAAGGCATAGCACGTAATGTATGCATAAAGCAATACTTGAATTGAGCTTCTAACCTGTGTGCCAGCTTGGACCTTGTGGGTTCTGAAATGGCTTGGGCACATAAATGGACAAACCCTGTTCTCTTTAACCTTTGGATATTTATCTATTTGCTTTTTACCTGCCAGGTATTCAAAATTTGTTTTGGTGATAAAAGGAAATCCCATTGCTTGCCAACTTTTAAATTGCCAACCCACTGTGTTCTTTCATTTTCTTTTAGTGCAGGGTTTGGCTCTGACATGACGTGTCACCTACCGCAGTCCTTTTTGATTTTTTTTTGCTCACTTTCAAACAGCTAAGTGAATTAAATCTGCTGCAGTTTTAAAACATGCCCTCGGGCCAGGTTTCACTTCAATGGTACCAAATGGCTTTGTCTTTTGTACTTGAGAATGACGCACACACATGCATGGCTCTGAGTGTATGTGTATTTTTTATTTTTTTTCGTCCACTGTGTCGACACAATCCCAGCGTTTATAAGATTACCAGAGTCCATTTGTGTTCCGGCGGGAGCCATCTTGGCTCGGAGGAGGCCTCCGCTGGGAACCATCTGGGCTCTACTCAAAGCAGTTTCCACTCCGCCTCCCCTGTCTTCTCCACATTGTGACCAAAGCTATTTACTTTAAAGGGGGGAGGAACTTAAATGTCATTCGTGTGTATTTGTGAAACTCTGAAATTCTCCAGATAGAACTCCTGAGCTCTGACGTGGCACTGTTTATTCATGCAAAGTACAGAATTGATATTGGAGTGTGGGAAGTAGTTCTCATTGTTGGCAATGATAGCTCAGGAGATATACGAGCTGTTACCAGTCCGTCTTCCATATAAAGTGCGACATATTGCACCAACGCTAATATTACTCCTTCCATGGTATTTAAAGCCTCTCCAAGCTGATCATATTCTACCAGTGGAAAATTGGGCCTGCGCTCACTTTTTCTGAATTAATTTGTCCTCCTTAATTTTACATTTGACCTCTCTATTAGCCTCTTTCATCTCTTCCTCGTCTGGTGAAATGCCAGGTTTATTTTTATTTAATGATGCTTTCAGGATCCTGGTCACCCAAGGTTTATAATTCACATATATATTGCTTCAGTCTGGGTATCAGACTCTCCCAAAGATAAATATGACAACAGATATGATTAATTTTCTATTGAATAATTAATTGGTTAACTTGAATTGTCCCCTTGTAGTTGGGCTGTTTTTACTGCATCTAATTTGTTACTATAACATAAAATGAATTCTAATATGCACACTTTACTAATATTTAATACAATCTGCGTATTACTGTCATAATGGTGCTAAAAGTCATTATATTTTTGAATATAATAGTCATAAAAGCGAAAAGTGTGATATTCACGTTTATTACTCTGTGTATTCCACGGGTTAGTGTGTATGATTGTAGCCTGTTGAGTTTGCTGTCAATCAGGTTATGTAATTATGTGTGTATTCTAGTATATTACTGACAACCCTCAGTAAGCATATTGGTTATTATTAATGCTGTGTGCAGTCACACCACCCCTCTAATCATATTGTGCCATTTTCAGTAGCAGGCAAATTTTCTTCCCAAAGGGTTGGCAGTATGTGGTAAATGAAGTTTCCCCTTCAAATAATCTGGGGAAAAACACAGACTAATTTCTATAATCATAAAAAGAGTATAAGAACACGTGTTGTGATGCCAGTAATTTAACTTTAATAAAGCCCTCCCTCCCTCTGTTGTCATCTCTGGATGGCCACCTCATAAAAGCATGATTGATCTGACTTGTCCTACTGTGTGATTTCTCCACGGTTGTGACATTCATCACATTGATCTAGTTGCTACATGGGCTCAAGGATTATTTTCCTCCAGTAAATATATTGGTATACCGGAATAGGGGTAGTTTAGTGAATATCTCGTTGACGTCAAGATGGCTTTCCGCACCAGAAATGACTTGGAGAGATTTTACAGGACGATTGTCAATTATCAGCAATGTGGAAACAAACATTTGCTTAAACACAACATTTTTTGAGGGTGGAATTTCCCCTTCCCGCTTTCCGACTTATTTTTATTCTGCGATGATTTGGGTTCTACAAAGACCGCTAGAGTTATTTTTGTATTTCCCCCTTTGTTTTTTGAGGTGATAGTGGTTTTTGATGTTGGAGCTTTCACTGTGCAGACTGTTTTAATTTTTGCATAAAATGTATAACATCTTGTGGAACAGATTTAGTCCGGAAGTGGTGCTTTCTATTTCTCCTCCAAATTGGATTTTTTCCCAGCTAAAAGTGTTTTTAGTTGCCAGTGTTGTTTTATTTTTGTTATGCATTTGCTGCCTTAGTGGTAGTTTTGATAGTTATGTTGGTTCTAGCCATTCTAGCCTTTTTCAGCACTCGCCCACTTCCCCATTTGACATTTGGGTGCTCGGAGGACCAGTGGTGCTCTAATAGCCTAGTTATGTAACTGCTTCTGCACTTAGAGACAAAGAGAGATAAAATGGGGTGAGTATCTGAGATAGCACAGAGGAAGAGAGAAGGGAGAGTAGGAGAAAGCAGATGAAGTATGAGTGAACTTAGATTATATCACAGTCAGGACCTGGATAGGCAGATAAGTGTCCTACCTTTTTACATGTTAGAGACAAAAACATTGAATATTATTAAGGTTATTATATAATAGAAAACAACTACTTTTGTACATGACAACATTGTGGGACACCTTTTCATACTGCTGTGGCCTGATCAGAATGGTAACCGGATCCTGAAATTTGAAATGTACATACTATTTCAGTGCTATATTCCAAGGTTGTCAATTTTATGCTTAATAATAGAACAGATTATGTATTCATTAATAAAAGCTTTTTACTTTGATTGAGAACAAGGCAGAGCAGTTTACAAACTTAATTCCCCTCAGATTTCCCTTGTGGCTACAGGGCTAAGCAGCCCGAGTCTTAATCGCTCGACTTCTCCCTATCTCTTCAGCACACCTGCCCTCTCACTTTCTCGCTGACTGAGGCTTTAGAGTAGGAAAAAAAAATCGATAATTTTTTTTTTCCTCTTCTTTCCCCGGTCGTCCATCACTTATGAAACAAAATGTAATGAATAGATAATTAGCCTGAATAGGCAGAATTTGGTTATAGTCCATCATGGGAAATGTTGTGAGATCTTTCCTACTTTGTCAGCAGGGTTAGCTATTTCAGTGCCCTCATTTTTTAACTTAAGGGAATTGCAACTTGGGTGTCACTAATTGCAAGTGATTTACATTGCAAAAAAGTTGGATGACAATATTTAGAGTCTTAATTAATGTTGAAGTGCATACGCAACAGCATTTTAAAGCCACTGGTCCTTTTTGTGCAGGCCCTGGGATTTGTATGCTGTAGCGTTTTATTGTTTGCAAATAGACACAGAGGTTGCTTTGATTGAAAGCTGACAGTGGTGCTTTACTGACAATGTCAAGGACAGGTTGGTTTCATTGTACAGTAAGATAAGAGGCCACAACAAAAGTTTTGTGTTCAAAGAAATGTGTGCCTTGCTCACCTAGACCAGATACTACTGATTGGGAAATCCACAACAGAAACAGGAATGAAATAGGATCTCTGTGTGTCCTTCTGAATCAATATAAAGCTCACAGGCCTCTATTGATGTTTCTATTTAAGAACAGTGATTTCTTCTCACAGGATCACCACCCCTCCACACACACACACACGACACAACACACAACAACCCACACACACACACACAACACAAACCAACACAGGCACTAACACACACACACACACTTTTTTACTTCATTGCTGTAATGGAATCTCAAACCTAATCTCGGATACAGAAAACTAACTGGGCCACTTTTCTTCCTCTCCTTCCTCCCCTCCCCTCTGTCCCTCTGTTCCAGGTGGAAGTTGAAGTGGAGAGCATGGACAAAGCAGGGAACTTCATTGGCTGGCTGCACATTGAGGGTTTGAATCTGTCAGTGGCGTTGGTAGAAAATGCTCTGTCTAAGGTCCACTTTACAGCAGAGCGCAGCGCCTACTACAAAACCTTGGTCTCAGCAGAGGAGGCATGCCGACTGAGGAAAGAGAAGGTATGTCTAATTTAGATGCTACAAGAGCTTCAACTACCGTACATCCTATTAAACTATGTTTGTGAGTGATGAGTACACTCCTAGCTGACATAAAACTGTCTTCATAAAGCTTCCGAGTGATGGAAGTCGCACCTGAATTTATTTACTTACATTCATCCCGTACTCTCATACACTAAAGGAAAACTTTGATATCCAGCATGGCATCAAGTATTTAGGAAAAGTTAGGGTTCAAAATGCTTTTCTCTCATATTATTATTATTATTCAGCACAGGCCAAGATGTCATGTTTCTCAGGACCTTCGGAGAAAACAGTAGCCTGGTTATTATCAGGATTTCTAAGGATAAGTTCATAAAGACGCAGTCAATAGCAATGACGATCCTTCAGAAGTGAGGGGAGAAAACATAAAAAGCTGTTTGTTCCAATAAGGGAACACACAAACACATTCTTCCAGGCATTGGCAACCAGATGCTTCCTTTGGCAACACCCAACTCTTCTCTCAACAGCAACTCTACTATTCTGTCTTGTAAACTTCCACACACTGCCCTTGTCAAAGGCAAATCCCCATCCCCCCTCAGCAGCCTGGCAGCCAATTAGGACAGGTGGTGCCATGACCTTTGGTTTTCATTAATACAAAACTGAGCTTTTTTAGCGTGCATCTGCATGAAGGTAGAGGAGGACACATCAATATACGTAGCATGACACCCCATTCAGACATGACCAGTAACAGCAAGTGTGCATTATTGTATTGATAGGATGCAGGAAGGAACCTTTTAGTTAAAGCTACAATAATGTGGAAATGCTCGATCTGGGGTTGAGAATAGCCACATATTTTCCATTATCATTGAAGCTTCCTCTCCTCAATGGGAGTCCTTTGATGGATGGAGGCCTCTCTCACACTGATCCTGATCTCGCCCTGCATTTTCATTATGGCTCTAGGAGTCACCCCTGCCAGATGCATGAAGTGCCCGGCCAGCTGTCATCCTTGTCCTCTTTCTCTCTATCTCTGTAACGTATTTCTTTTACCCTCTCTCCCCCTCTCTTTCTCTTTTATTCTCTCTTCCACTCACTTGTACCTATTTGGGTCCTTTAGGAGACACAAATGCCTCTCCTTGCCATATAAACGTGATGTATTGCAGGAGCCATGAGGGGCTGTGTTTCTCTTCTCTGAATCTATCATGTTCATAGTCAGTGTGTTTCTCCTTGTCTTCCTTGCTCTCGGCTTCGCTCTTTTCTCACAGATACTCTCCAGCTGTGTCTTCCTTTTCTCAAAATGGTGAAAGAGAGAGCTAATGATCGAGAGAGGGCCGCGCAGGTGAACCTTTTTGGTCTGCATTTACAAAGAAGAAAAATCTTGCCGGCGATGTGAGCACACCGGCCCTGCCATGTTAAATCTAACTTGCCGCAAGAAGGCACTTTCCTGACACCTCTGATGACAATTTCACTACCGGTTTCCGACCCCCTTTGCAGCATTGAGACAGATTGACTTTCACCACAAGGTTTTGACTTGAGCTAACCTGAGTGCGGACAGGGCCGAGAGGAAAGACGACAGAATGGGGCCTGAGTAGACCAGACAGACAGTGATTATGTTTGATGTTCGTTTGCCACAGGCACCGGTGCACAGATCAACCACAGCCTGATTTGTTTGTGTGTGTGTGTGGGTGTGTGTAGTGGAGAATCTTATGTGTTAATGGAGCACAGGGCAGTTGGTTGTATGTGTGTGTGAATGCATAGTATGCAACTTGAAGGCAGATGAGGTGGGACTTGCTGCTCTAATTAACCCGTAGAGACCATCTCGAGAAAAAAGCTGAGAGCCTGGCTTTTTTTTTTTTTTTTTTCTTTTTCTGTCTTTCTCTTTTGAAGTTGTGGCTGGTCTTTGTCTGTGTGTAGGCTGAGGCTAGGTAGGGTAGATTGCATTTCTTCCCATCTCCTTCCTTCTCTTCCTCATTGCCCTCTCTTTATTGTCCCTACGGCTGTGGATATGGAACACATCAGTGGTACTGCTGTGTCAGGAGTCCCTACAAGAAAACAAGGTTTGTCGTAATGAAGTGCAGTCAGGGTGTGCGTTTGTACACACACTCTCATTAAAGAAAACTTTGCGTTGGTGGTCCAGCCGGGACCCGGGACAGCAAGGGGATTGAGCCTCCTGCAGTAGCATCCTGTACCAAAACTGCTTAGTTCGAGTGACTTAAGTGAATATGAGTTTTTGCTACAATGAGACCAGTGGGACAAAGTGATTGTGTTCTAAATGAAGCATTCCAAAGGGTTTGAAGAAGAGCCTTTTCTTAGAGCTCAGCATGTTTTTGATCTTGCATATCAGCATCTCTTGGAACAATATTAGGAACAGTCCTCTCACAGAAAACCCAATTTCTCCACACAAGCTCCCGTTGTAGGCCTGGGCACATTTCTAATTCTGTTCCCAATTATGGTTATTTATGGCTAAGCTATTGTTTACATAAATCTCTTTAAAGCGTGTCGCCCTGTCAGAACCTATTGTCATGCTTTCAGTGCTAACATTTACACTATTCAGCTACAAGACAGACCCGGGACACTGTATAAACTTATTTCATGTTTTAACAATGAGTCAGTTGTTGCCAAGCAGTGCTCGTGCCCTCTTCTTAAATCTCTTGACTGGTTTTGCAAAGCATTCTTGTGTATATTTGGATTCTCCGAGGGGTAGAAAAACAAATTCTTGCTTACCAGGCATCTCTGTAAACAAGACTTGTTGCAAAAACACTGCATTTTGTCATTGTAATATGAGAGGGCTCGTTGCAGTTATTCATATGATGTTCCCGTATTCCCATGCTGCAGCTGAGAGAAATAAATTTGACAAGATTGCAGCAGTTTGCCTCAAAGTGGATTAGGAGCAAAGTTTGACTGCAAAGGCATTGGCTATAGCTGTTATTTAAGTTCCCCAAAGATTTAACAGGTGTTTTTTAATTCAGAAACAAAAATAGATGAAACACTCAGAAATGAAGACAGAGCAATGAGAGTGAAATCAATTGACCCTCCTGGAAACTCTCGGTTCTTCTCAGAGCTTTCCACCATCCGCCAATGTGAATGATTTTTGCTAGTGTGTTTTCAGTCAATATTAAGCCATATGTCTAACAGGCAGAGTAAAGAAACTTGCTAGTAATTGTAGTGACCAATTATGAAGAGGTGAATCAACAATCGGCCCTCAATAATTTCAATAATAACCAGTGTGCTTCCTGTTGAGCAATTTTTTTTTTTTTTTTGCTGTAATTACCCAACCTTGAAGGAGATTAACACACTCTGATGGGTCTCAGAGTAGGAAAGAGGAAAAAAGAGAGAGTAGAGAGAGAAAAAGGATATGACAACCCCTGTTAAAGATATTTCATGTCACAAGACTCTCCTCCTTTTATGACTGCCTGCCCCTTTCCTTCAATCCTGCTCAGCCCCCTTCACAGACAACTGTCTTTCTTTTAACCTCTTCAGTCTTCTTGAATCCTTATGTTCACCTTCTTCACTTGCCCCCCCCCCTCCCCTTTTTTTTTCTCTCCTCCTTCACTAATCATTTTTGAATCCCTTCCTAATTACTAGATTAATGTCTTCTCAGATGCCCTGTGTCATGCCCTTGTTCCCCTTTGCTGCTTTACAGTTTTTGGATCATGCAGGACGGTTCCTTCCTAAGCCTGTGCTGTGGTCCGAGTGAGTCAGGCAGCTGCATCATTTGTACCCTTTCTGAAAAGAAAAAAAAAAAGCCTTCTGAAGCATAAACCCAGGATCCGGTACCACTGTTCCTTATATTTTACTCGTCCATCAACGACACTTGTCAAGGCACTTGAACGAGCATCGACATTTGACATTGAGCTCGTGGCGTGTCCTTGGTGGAGCCTGATTGAAGTACATAATCTTGTTTCAGCTTTCTCTTCTTTTTGGGTGAAATCCAGACTTGTCCAGCTGACTTAACTGTCACTTCGATCAAGGGCCCGTTGACAAGTTTTATTATCACATGGCTCAGACGGACCATTTTTGTACTGCAAAGCAAATTACAGCGCTTAGATTTGCTGTGATTGGCTGACTAGCATTGTAAGCATGTCTGATTATATTGGTACGTTGCAATTTTTGTCCCATTATTTCACTTCAGTTGCCTCTGGCTCAGTCTCTCAAGGGCCAAGCAGCTTGCCTTGCAAGCCAAACATTTCGACAGCTAACCAGAAATCCCCACCCCCGACCCACTCGCTTTTTACCTATGATTTCTTACAGTTTTTCAAAGAGTGTGCAGAAAGCAACATCTCCCTGTCCTCCCATCTAAGCTGTGTCTTCTCAGCAGTCAGCACATCACACACCTGGCTAAACAGGAACACGCTGTGGATGAATCAAGATAATTGGGCTTTTAGCAAAGCTAATAGGTTTGTGTCTCTTGAGTTCAGTCTGGAGGAAGTTTACGTTTAGTAGACTAGTTTCACTCAAAAGGATTAGTTATGGTTTCCATTCTGTCCTCTGTTCCAATAATAGCCTTTCTATTAAAATCTACACAGTATTCTTTGTTTTACCTGGATTGATTTCAATTGAATAAATTTAGAAGAATAATTTGTACAAAGGACAATTTTCCGTTATGTATGTGGCATGTGGATTCTGTCTTCTGTAAATAGTCTTTGTACAATTATATACATGCAGCCTTGTTTGGTTTTAATGGATGACAGTCCCTTTCTATTAATACCATATTCTCAGTGCTTTCCTAAGCCCTGAAGCCAATGAAATGCTTTCAGGGTTGCAATCTTGGCCTCTCATAGTGAAATGACCTGTGGCAGTCACCAGGCAATATCATGGAAAAATGCTGGGGATTAATATTAAAGTAGCTCATCTATGGATGCTTTGAGTAAAATAACTCTAAAATTGTCTCATTCATTTCATTCATTGCTGACTATACTCATTGTTTCACTAATTCAGGTCTTTTTTTGGCCAAATCCCATTGCTGGTCCTGCGAATTATCTCCTCTTAACTTTAGCCGTTTTGGTGTTAGTCCCTGGCTGTCCTTGCTCCGAGATTTTTGGCGAACATGAAATCATTATATTTATTACTTTCCTCACTCAAATCGCCTTGTGAAGAATTGAGCCTTAATGGCTTTTGGGGGCAAACAGAATGATTGCACCTTCCAGTATTACAATTCCAGTCATCCTTCTCTTCTATCTCTCCCATCTATTGCTTACTGCTGTCAGCAATGCCTTGTGATTTAACAAATGGAGGCTCTATGAGATGAGATAGGTAAAACGTCCATGACAATCACACAAAGTGATATTAAATTAATGACCGAGCTAGATACACATCTAGTCCATTTAAGGAATTCGAGGAATGATTGCTAAAGAACCTGCTTCTCAATCCTGGAAGAAAATGAAATGCCCAGCTGAGGGAGAAGTTATTCTTAAGCAAAATGCTAAAGTTCTAACATTTATCAGCCACTTTCGAGATTTCTTTGGCTCTGTATTTATCCTTTTTACCCCTTTTACCTGCATTCCAGTTATCACAGAAAGGTCTAGTTCAAATTTCTGCCACGTCGTTATTGTGTTAAAATCCTTTGTAACTCTAGTCTTTGTCACTTTAAAATGGGTAGATAAAAGCTACTTCCTTTTCAAATGTGCCAGGTAATGCCAGAGAGGTTTCTTTGATTACACATTATACCCCAAAACATTTCTTAACACTGGATTTGTCTGGAATGATTTGCTTCTTTGAATTCTTGGTTTCTTTGTGCACAACACACTCTCCCCTGTAGGTTGGAATGGGAAAATGAGATAATAGAAAAGCTTTACTTAATATGCTGTAATATATCTTTGCCGCTTCGCTCATATTCTCGGGGTCACAACTTGTTTTTAGAACGGTTTCGGAGCAGTCCTTTTTGCAGCTTCAAATGGGTGAACTTTGGATTTAAAGAGAGGCACTTGTCTGGTCATATAGTGCCGACTCCGGAAAACTCCCTCATCTTAATTTAATATACTTGGACTCCTGCTGAAGACTTTCAACAAATGCATATTGCGTGCATCCTGCAGACCATGCATAATGCAGGTGTTGTATTTAAAACTGCTGATTCAAGGTAACTAATCTCACAACACCCAACAGTTATTCAGACATCTGATGTACCTGTAAATGAGGGTTGAATAATACATTCTCCACATGTATTAAAATGCATATATATAGTGTCAGATATGTGCAGAGACCCTTTCAAATACCAGAAAACTAATGGGAGAATGAAATGGTGTCAGTGGCAGCATTTTTGCTCAGCTATTTCAAAGATGGAAGGCCGGGAGAATCATTATGTCACTGGTGATTTGCATTTTCTTGCCCTTTAGGAGATGAGTGGCTAAAACTGTGCCAAAAGTCACAGTACATCACCTCACCCCTGGGCAATCTATTTGTGCTAGTCTTGCTAGTGTATCAGATATATCGTCCACAGTATTACATAGTGCAGCACAACAGCAATCAACAGTCAAATAACCACTAAACTCCAAGGTCTTGGCTTCTCTTTGCGCCAACATTATCTCTTTGGCTCACTAGAACACAGTGTTGTAGCTGTGAGTAGCAATGAACAGGTTAGTACAGTTGGATGAGTCATGGTGCATCAGTCCTCTGCCTGCTGTGGCCAAATCCTCTTTCGTGCCCAGGTTTTGAGGTACCAGCTATTTATATGCTGTTTTCAAAACGTTACCTATGTTTTATTTAAGGTATTAAGCAAAGTGCTACTACTGCCACTACTACTGACAGTTCTTATGTGGATGAGGATGATTGTGTTAATCTTCACAAACAGAATTAGAAACCAGAGTACAATACAGCACAATCCCTCTGCAACACAAGCTAACTGTGTGTCAGAATATAAGTGGTGCAATGTAATAAATATCCCTCCAGTGCTTTAACTTTAATACCGCAGCTGGGTTATTACTTTGCATCGGTTTATTAAAGTATAGCAGAAAATTTTTTATTAATCTAATTTATAGATTTTAGCTAATTCTGTTCAGAATCACTGCTAAATAATAATATTGGCAGTATTTAATCAAAGTTGAACCACAATCCAGTAAATTCATAATAAAATAAAGTAGGGAGTTCAGAGCAACACGCTATAAGACTAACAATGCTAAAGCTTTTGTGATGGCCTACCACCTTACAGATCAGTGGCTCAGGGGACCCCATCCCATGCTGGAAATAATCAACATGTTCAGTGAGGGAACTTTTGGCCACATTGCCAGCGTGTCAATACACAAGCAAGATGAAGGTTGCAGGGTTTGTTGGCAAGTGTGAAAGGACAGTGGGATCACAGCAAGGGGATATTATTGCCTGCAGGGTGGCCACAATGGGAGAGGTGACCCGTGTGAGACCTCACATTTCTGGAAAATGGAGGGGACTGTACACTCTGTTACCACCTACCACAAATTCCCAGGCTTGAGTTTTGTGTGTCCGCAATGTGCCTTTGCATTTCTATCTGCACAATGTGTACAGATGTGTGTGTTTGTGTGCGACTGCGTACCATTTCCTTTCTTTGTTTACTATGCCGTAATGTTTGTATGCCTCTTTTGGTGTGCGCGTTTACTCCTGCCTTCATCTTTCTTCTCAGCACTGTGTGCACAGAATGAACCACCTACCACACAAAAGCAAAGAGCTGACGGAGGCTTTTTCATATGGCTAAAAGATTACATAATATGATTCTCAGTGCACTGTGTACACATTTGCACACACACCAAACTTGGTTGCAGATGGAGGGAGGCGGCACACGTGCACACACCATACTCTCACTGTCTCTTGCCTGCGTACTCACACACTTTGAGCATGTGCAGACCGACTGCAAATACACAAATACAGGCGCACACATGCACACACTCTCCGGTGAC